ATTCTACTGCACCACAAGAATACTAAGATTTTCTTCATTTTTTTCCTACTTTTTCACTTCCCGTGACTTCACGTTAAAATGACAACTGTTGTTAATCCCAGACAAGAGAACGAAATAATTTTAACTAGGAGAATCAAGCCTTTCAGAAAAAGAAACAAAGTTATAGGAGGGAAGACAAAGAAACCCTGAGAAGTCCTGTACTTTCTGTCCCAGTATTGACATCAGCTGTGGAGGTAATGTTAGATCCCCATCAAGCACTCACTGAAGTAGGACTCATTCTGTCTCTTGTAATTAGAAGCATTTGAAATATATATATTTTTTCCTTTTATAATAGCAATTATAATCTATTACCTTTATCTTTCCAAAGTTATTGCTCTGAAGAAATAAGTGAAGGCATTAGCCTATTTTCTGTGGAAGAAGAAAGCCTTGGTAACCAGGATGGAAGGAATCTGTCTTTGAAAATACTTAATCTCTATGAATGCTTAAAATTGCATGTAGGAGTTCATCACAAATGGAGGCAACGGAATCTTTCTCATGAAAGATAATGAGGCTTAGTCACCAACATGGCAAAAGGCATCTTAGACATCTGCACATATTCGTGGCTGAATCCTGTGCTGTAAGTTAGTAATGATGTGGTCTGTTCCTGCCTCTAGAGCCCCTCTTGACATAGGCATAAAATCTAGCCTTGATTTTGGGCACTGTACAGCGAGAGCAGCTTGCCATAACTCCCAAGTTCACTGTCATTACAATTTTATCTGATATCATCTATTAGCTAAAATGTCATCTTCAGGTAGGGAGAAAAGAGGGAAATGTTGATCTGACTTCCAAAATTGATCCTAGCCTTTTGATAACTTATGTTAACTGAGTCAAACGCAGCATTCTGGGCTTTTTCCATGGTTAACAGGGAGAGAGAGATTCCCCCAGAGGGAAATTCAAAGTAAGAGTCCAATTTAGTCACTAAACTGCTGGACAAGGAACACATCTCCCCTCCCTGAGATTATTGAAGGGATCACAGGAGGTTAACCTCACTGGGATAAAGTTGTCTTCTGTGAATATCTCATCACACGGCATCACTGAGATGCAATCTCACTATTTGTGACATACAAAACATCAAAGCCACATAAAGCTCAACACGCCATCATCTTTGGTTCCTTTCTCTGACTGCATTTGTGTAACAACAAGCATGTACATTAACATGCTGTGTCTGTGTTTTATGAATGTCCCAAATCTGGGTTTAACAATATTTTCTCAGGCACTGAGAAAGTCTGGGAATTTCAACTTGGCACACATTTGGAGCCAAAAATATAGAGCAGCAAATGGGCATATGAAAGACCTGGCCAAAATTCATTGTCGTTATCCCAAATGTCATTCTGAATGTTCTCAGAGACTTTCAGGCTCCTGATAGACTTGATCATGCCAGTATATCTGAACCTAATGTGCTGGACCTGTCAGAAGCAAGTCCCAGTCAGCATATTAATTCATAAGCTTTATAAATATGATTATTTAAAAGACTTTTGTCTTTGTGTTATGGATTTTTGTAATCTAAACTTAGAACTAACATCTACAGCAGTATCAGTCCTAGCCTGTGTTCCATTACAAACACCTGTGAGTAAGCATAGGAATGCCAATAACTACTAGTGTTACTGGAGAGATATTATAATTACCATCATGTTTACTAACTGGGAAGCAGCACGTTATTTCTCAGTGCTCTATCAAAGTCTCTTTCATTGTCCTATAAGGTAATACAACGATATCCAGAGTGTGACAGTATGCTAACATTTTGTTTACTCAAATCCTACGTTGCACTAACTGGCCTCCTATCCACAGTAATTTTTTCAAAGTTTTCCTTTTTCCATCACACAAAATAGAGGTAATGGTCACATGACAATAGATATCTAATTCAGCTTGCTAAACCGTATCTACCGTGACTTACTATTAACTACCATATAGTGATCAATCATTGCGGGATGTTTCCTGTTTTGCAGGTAACTGTTCTCTCACTTTAGAAACTGAAATGCCTTTTTTTTCCCCCTTTTGTTCAGTTGTGTTTACATCAGGGTCAGCTGTGGAATGAAACCTATGTGGTTTAAGATTTCATGATGAAATTGAAATGACTTGAATGATTTGACAGTTTGTCTTAAGACATCTCAGACTTGGGCAATTTCTTCATTATGTATCAGACCCAGTTGCTAGCTAAAGTACAGTATGAAGAACACCTCAATTCACAGTTTTGTTTGGCTTTAGGCTTAAATCCAGTGCACAGTGAGGAAGGGCTGAAGTCTCCACTCCAGAGATTCACTCACTTCTTTTTTTTACCTGAAGAATATTGGAGTATAGTAATATTTAGCAAAACCACTGAAAATGCTCCTTTCTTCCTACGTGAGATCCCATTCTAAGTAATAAGTTATCTCATCATTATTGTGGTATTGCATTGTTAAAATATTCAGTTCAAATATGAATGGCATTGCAATAAGTCCTCTACAAGGAATGCGTGATAAACATATCAGTTGAATGCACCTGAATACAGAGAAAAAAGGGAAAGGGGGGAAATAAAATGTTTAAGTCCAGTTCTAATATAGTCCTATATATTCCTTATGGAATCAGCCTCTATTGAGCAAAAAGCAATTTCAATTTGTTTTATTCTAATTTGATTCAAATTAGACTTCATTTCAAACTAAATTGTGTCTAATTTTTTCTTTTACTCAAACAAAACGTGATATGATTTCTTTTCTTCTTAAATAATAGATAAAACATGACTTTTTCCATAATATATTTCATTTTTCAATTTATAAAGAGATGCACTGGATGAAAAATTCCACAGACGCTTGCAGTGATGATATTCTTGTGCCATGCATGACCAGCAATCTAAAAAGAATGAAAGCATAAGTAGTTCTTTGTTTTCTTTCCAGAATCTGTTTATTTTTTCAGACTGAACTTTTATTCGTAAAATCTGTCAGACAAAAGAAAGATCTCTGTTTGAGGTTTTTAGATGTAAAGGTTCTTGACAAATTTTATTCTTATATTATAGCTAATACAAAGATTCATTATAAGGTAGGGGAAAATAAATGCCTAGCTGAACGCTTGAGCTCAAAGTATGTTATTAAATGCATTGCGGGTGAACTTTTCCTGCCTAAGTAAAAACAAAGAAACAAACAAAACCAGCATTTTCTGGTTGGTATTTCAGATCCTTGGAATAGATCAATAGACAGTACTTGGGTACTTGGGCTTGGTGCTGAAGCTTAAGAGCTAAGAAAATGCCTCTTGACTGGCATATCTTCATCTACTTGCATTATGGTTGTGAAAAAGAGAGAAATTCATGGAGAAATGGGCCCTGTGGTCTCAGTGTGGATCTTATGTTTCACTTTTGCTCAGCCTTAAGTCTCATTGTTTGAAATATACATGTCTAAATTTTCTTTCTATTGTGGCATGGTTTTGAAAGTGTGCATAATCAGTGGGACAGACTGCATTTCACCCAGAATTCACTTACAGTAGCTACTTTGAATGGGATTTATATAGCAGTGATAACTTAACCTTACAGTGCCCTTCATCTTCCATGTGAACATGGTAAGCAAAACAATGTCTTACGTGGTGATTTTTATTTTGAGCTGTATTTATGAAAAAGGAATTGTTCTTTGACTTTAATTCTTTCATTTCAGTCTCCTGTTACTGTACCTTTTCCTTGGGAGAATGACATATTTCAAATTCATCTCTTTTGTCTTTCTGCAACTTGAATTACCTGATATGGTAATCGATTTCTGTTTTCTCTAGCTCTTCTCTGCACAGTTCCAAAATCCATTCAAGCTCCCCCCTTCCAGTTATCAAGAATCTCATAAGAGGAGGTGTCACAGAAATTTTAGACATGTTTGAAATAGTCAAAGTTGATTAAAACATTTTGTGAAACTTGGAAAATCTGATAAGGTTCTGAGTTTGTAACAGTCCAGGTTCTGGTTCACTTTCCCCAGTGTATTACATTCAGGAGCTTCCACATAGAATAGCAATATTTTGAGCAATGTAAGAAACTCCTACAGTTGTTCCTGGCATTTTTCATTCAGTTTGGTTACCTATCTGCAGTCTACAAAGAAAAACTTCTTGCAGTGCATTAGATGTAAGCACCAGTCCAGCAGCTCAGCACCTCTCCTGCTGGCTGAGGAAAGACTGCTGCTGCCTGACTGTTGTCCCTGTGATTGGTTGTGCCTCAACAAGCTGCTGCACATGGACTGCAGTCACAGCTTAAATCCAACTCCTGTGCTCAGTCACCATACATGAACTTCATCTAGACAACTAAGCTGCTCCAAGCACAGGCACCAGGCAAGGGCTAAAATGTGTTTCATCTTCTAATAAACTGTTCACAACATTTGTCACTTAGAAAAGGAAAATTGTTCAAATTCTCCAAAATTTACTTGGAACATGTATGTTCATTTAGCCAGCAATGAGCTGAAAGGTGGATGGAACTTCTAGACTATGTGTGTCACTGGAAAAATGATCAAACTAAATTGTGGCAGTTAACTATGGCTTACTGAAATCTTCTATAGAGGTGACAAAGTTAAGCTAATCTATGCAGTTTTCAACTGTTAAAGAAAGGACAGACTGTCCCTCAAATTTGCTGCAAAAATGGTTGCTCAAGCACTGCTAATTAAATGTGATTCTGAGGGAAAAGACTTTTGTCCATGGTGCATCTCCGTTGTTCCCTTCTTTTAAAGAAGCATTATCTTAATTTACCCTTCAGTCTTTTTTTCACCCTTAATCTTGAAGCAAATAAATGCCCTTTGCTGATGTTTTCCATTTTCCTGAAACTTAATTTTGCTCTTCTTGCATTTAAAAACAAGAACAACAACAACAAATACTAAATAGACTTCTCCAAAAAGTCTAGCCCACCACAGTTGCTAACAATAGTATTGATAGATACCCGGTAGCAGTTCTGGTTAAAACAAGCCTGTAAACCATACAATCAGTGTATTTTATGGATTGCATTTATCACTGACATTTTCCCCTTCCTTCAGTTGCAGGGTCCTGTCCCCTTCAGCTGCCTTCTGGACATCGCTGCCTCTCTGGTAGAACAGCAGAACAAATGTTAACTACTGCAGCTGCTCTCTGTAAATAGCTCACTTTCTGTAGTGGCTCACCCACCTTCTGGCTGACCAGAAAAGCAATCTGATAACGGTTATAATGCCATCCTCAAAGCCATCCTTCAAATGTGTGGAGTGGGAGAAGTGAATGGTATGCAACAGACAGGTATGTGGTGGTGTGGAGACCCTGGATGCAGCTGCTGCAGCAAGTATCCCACAGGCAAGGACCAGAGGTTGCCTGTCATTGGGATGTGGGGGTCTTCCTCCATCCCAAGGATATAGAATTACATGTCACAGGACTTGCACTGTGATTGCTTGGTAACAGTAGATCAGAAAATATTGTGTGTCTTTCACACTGAAGTGAAAACATGCGAGTCCTGTCACAAAGCATTCTGACCACATGCCAGCATCATTGAAGCCTCATTCTGGTGCCTGTCATTGCTGCATCATCTGGGCATTATCATTCCTTCTAAGCATTTGTTATTTTAATCTTAAAATGCCCCTCTGCAATTCATTTGAGATATTTCTGTTTTCAATAATACATTTTCCATAATGCTTTCCTTCCTCCTTCAGACCTCTCTGAAATCAAGCACTGCAGTCCACTGACATGTTGACAGTTTTACATGAATTAATGAAAAAGGAGTTGGAAGTGACTGACAAAGATTTGTTTATTATTATTAAACTGACTGTGAATCTCAGTTGCTCTACTGAAAAGAAAATGAGGAATTGAAAAAAAGTATCAATCCACAATGTATGATTAAGAATATATTCTATTCTTCAATTTATAATGAATAATTTTAAGAATTAAGGCTGCTGCCTGGAAGCAGAAATCCTTGTTGTGAATTGTACTCATAACTGCTTAATGGTATGGCTAATATGCTGAGAGGAAGTGAAAATGGATATTTCAACACGGTGAAAAATACTAGCTCAAAGTTGGACCTTTAATGGAAAAAGGAAAATATGAATCATCTCGGTAACAAACAAGAAGATACAAGATGAAAAGGTACTTGCTGGATAATTTCTTATCTACTTTTGTTCAGGTAAAAAGCTGAAATACAGAAGTCTAAGAATCACATTAGTGACACCTCATCTTTTTGGAGCAACGCTCTGTGGAATGTGTTAGCTTCTTACCGTATCCCATCAGGCTTATGCTCTCATCATCTGCACAAACTCCTGTTTCACACCCATGTTTCCTTTAACACTTCAGCCTTCCCCATCCCCTCAGTGTTTGGCTTTGCCTGATCTGTAGTAACAGCGAAGCCTGGTGCTCACCAGCACTGGACTCATGGCGCAGGCCAGCTCAAACAAGGCTGCTTCCTCTTTCTGTTTTCCTGCCCAGAGAGGCCAGCCAACCAAAGATGAAATTCCTCCATTCCTGGAACATCTGGCTGAGCCTCTCAATGCTTATAATTATCCTCCCACTCCCAGCTCTCTGCAGGTGCAGGGAAGTGTAGTGAAGGTTCTGTGGGAGCACAGCTTTACAGTGGGTAAGTTCACCTATAAATCTCAAGTAAATGCATGCCATATGATTTAATATACATTTTTGGTTTTATAATTTTTGCTGACAGAGGATCTCACTGATAAAAATGCCAGGTGGAATAATATCAGTTAAGAAACTTACGGCAAAACTTCCAAACTTTCAGTGAGTGCAGAACTATGTATTGCCATCAAAATCTACATCTCAACATCATATGCTGCCTTATCACTAATGCCTTTACCATCTGCCTACCCTCATTCACTTCTTATCCCTTCTCTCAACACAGGCTCTCATTTCTCAGCTGCTTTTTAGTCTTCACTCACTGCTCCTCCATCAGTCAGCCACTTGCTGCACTCATCTCACACAGAAACTCCAGGAAAACCTTCCCGTGCATTCCCTAGCAGGGGATGCTCTTGTAGTCCAAATGTGAATGTTGCCAGAGCCACAATCTGTTCCTTGTTTAGCTCAGCACAGTGCACCTAAGCAGATGGTGAGTAATGGCATGCAATGCCTACTTATCTTTCTGTGCTTTCCTCCATATGGTTCCTGTATTAGGGCTGGAAACAAACTGAAGGAGGTAGTATGAATAGGAAATGAATTCCATTAAGCTCCACAAAGTTGCTGTTAAAAATTACTGTGTTTTTGTACTGATACAAGAGTGGCTGAGTCATTTCAGACCTGAGATGTGAATATGCAGCTCCCCTGATGTTCATAGGTTTGCAACTACCTGTATCACATAAAAATGTTACGGTATGGAGCATCAGCTTGCAAGCCACTTGAGCACACTCTTCAGTTTCTCATTTTCTCATTAAAATAATCTCAAAGTAAGCATAAGATCTTGCTGCATTAATATATATTTAAATGTTCTGACATGATGCAGGACTACACAGTCCTAGAAATGGATAATGTTGCTTGCTCCTTTTGGTGGTGGTGGTAGATAATATTTAAAGACATGAAACAACCTGATATTAAAAAGGAATGTGTTTAGATCATCTTAGATTTAGCTATATATTAGGGGGCTGCTTAAAAATGTCAAAATTTTAGGATTTAGAATAGCATTCTCAAAAGAAGCCTATAAAGGTTTATGAGTATAGCTGTCACTACAAGCTGTAGCATTCAGTGAAACAACTTCCTAAATACCTAAAGGCCAGAATTACTTTACAGCTATTCTTGGTGTATTAATTTCTCAGTCACTTGGTGCCAAATCCCCAAGAGAGAGCTACAACACGAGAGATGCACAACATACAGCAAGAACGTACCATCCAGCAGCAGCCCTGCAAATAGGGACAAGGGAGAAGCAAATCTTGGGCTCTTGTCCCGTCTTCAGGGTTCATGGTTTTTGCACTGAAAAATGGTTCATGGATTTTGCACTGAAAAATGATAGGATAAATGACAAAAGAGGAGAGGAGAGGAGAGGAGAGGAGAGGAGAGGAGAGGAGAGGAGAGGAGAGGAGAGGAGAGGAGAGGAGAGGAGAGGAGAGGAGAG